GCAAAAAAATCAAAACAGGTTGGAAAATTCTTCAAAGGATGGTACGAAAAAAACAAAAAAAGCACATATGAAAAATGAACTAAACGACACGTTTTATGTATAATATCTTATATAGGATATATCTAGTGTGTACAGGTATGGGTTATTACACATATGCAATTACAAGATGATTATGACCTCTCATTTGCAATTGTATTAAAACATTTCGGTGCTTGCAAATTTAGGTGTCAGAAACAAGTAAGATACAAAACCTGCTCACATTGAAACAGTGTTTATACTTCACATTCAATTTAATGTAGACTTGATTTATAAGTAATTGTGCGTTTTGTCGGAAAGCAATTACATAAGTATTGTCGGTTTAAACAATATATGATGTGTTTTTGACTTAGTTGCAAACACTTAAATTTTTCAATTACCTTTCAATTAATTAAGTGTCCAAATACTCGTATATATTAACGATAGTTTGGAGATAATTAATTGTCAATTTCTTAAAAACAAACGACTTTCGAATGAGTGTATTATGTAAAGATAACTCTTTAAGTCCATTCTAAAAATTTAAAATTTCGTCAAAGTATAAAATTAGCTACTTTTTAACAGAATTATTCGTAAAATTGGATCAATTTATATTTGTTTACGTTATAAAATATTCTAGCGTAACGTGAATAAACAATCAAACATAATACTCATACAATCGTTTATGACATGAGATAATTTCTGCCTAAAATATACATCGAGACAAAGATGTTCACATGAAAGTTGAAAATTAACAATTTAAAAAACAACAACAGGATACTGTGATTGACTGACACCAAAATTGTAAAAAAATTAAAACAACGATCACCTAATGGAAGTCAAAACGGACACATTTGTCATGTTTCAAAGTCTATAAAAAACGTGAAACCATTGACAACAAAATTAATATTTAAATCATGATTCACAACATGAAAGATGATACTTCGCTTACGTGATGACACTTCTGGATTTTGCCATTTTTAAAGTCAATTTTCGTGACACATTAAACAAAACATTGCAGTGCGTTATCTTTGAAATATCAATATTGAAAATCTATATTAAAAGTTAAAGCTTTTTTGTATAAACTGACATTCCTTGAAATTATATGACCGCCAATATGTAATGTGTGACGGTAACACTGTTCTAACGACTAGGACATTAGCAAACTCGTTAGGAACATATCAGATGTGTAACCCTTATGAATAATGCATAACATTAGATCCTCCATCATTTAATATTATAAAAAACTATTTACTGAAGTACTCACTTACAATGTATGTCTGACGCAAGGGTGCAGATTAATATGAGTATAATGAGAAATAATGATTTGCATACATTTCCAGTTCATAGAAGAAAATCTCTCTCTCTCTCTTTTTAACACAAGAATGGTAAAAAGTATAAAAGGAATCCGTATGTAAAGTTTGATAATGGCGCTGGATAATCATGCCATGTTGGACAATTTTACCATCGGATCAGCTGATCTATTTTACACCCTCGGTAGATAAGGCGTGTTCTATAGGCGTGTCCTATAGACCTATAGGCGTGTCCTATAGACATATAGGCGTGTCCTATAGACGTATCCAACAGATCAAGTGGAATGCTTGTTTGCTTTATTCATCAATTTATCTGACAGCAAGTGGTCTAAATATATAAAGCTTTGTGCAATTCGTATAAAACAAAGTCCGGGACATTTGAGATTGTTTACTAAGCAATCGTTATTTCTAAAACCTAGTCGAATAATCAAAAAGATGTAATGAACAGCAAAACATGGTGGCTGACAAAGGGTATAAATTACTTCATACATTTAGCACAAACAGAATAAAAAATTAGTTGTATATTTAGGACTTGTGCCTCGGATAAGTCACAACAAATCTCTTCACTTTCTCTTATTGCGATGTCTCCTTGTTTAAGTTTCTTTCTGCACATCTTTTGCTCACTTTACCGCCTAATTTGCATCGGTTCGTCCTCCTCAGCAAGAACATCATCCGCATCTCCGAATTTCGGTTTTCTCTTGTGTGAAACGAACAAGAACACAATACCTGCGGCAATGTAGAAGACAAAAACAATCCAAGATAGCACAAACGAATAGCCATACTCATATTGTGCTCCTTTCGGCATTCGTGCTGGCAGATTTTCCTCGCCATATTCGGTGGTTCTGATAAACACCTCGTTCATAACTACTATGCAAGCCGCTGAAAAATGAATAAGTTTATTGATCATTTATCTTATTGCATTTTGTTTATTTTGACCTACTGATGTTTATTTATTACAAAAAGTATGAACTTAATGTTATGCATAAAATATTAAATTTAATTTTTTTATATTTTCTTTTACTTTAAAAATGTTCTTTTTATATCCGCCAATCAGTAAATGACAGTTTGTGCCTTTTTGCAAGAACAATGTAATATTTCAATGAGGCTTCACAATCAGACAAAAAACAACCAGAATATATCATTATGTTGGTAATAAATCGTATGGTTATATATCATATGGTCTCATGGGATACCTTAGTGACGTTTGTTCCTTTGTTCCGTTTATAATTGTTTTGTTTTCGGAAGTCATATATATTTATTTAGATTGATTTATCATGGAAAACATATCATGCGCTTCACGGCGTCATTATGAACATCTAAAGATTGAGAACCTGTCGATTTTGTTTAAAAATAGACATTAATTCTGTCTAAAAAACGATGAATTAAAAGCAGCACCAACATATGATTTGCCGGAAGTTATGCCTAAGCTAGAATAATGACGTCAAAGTTCAAGATTAACAAATATGATTGTAACTACAGTGTAAGAAAGTGCTTTCAAAATAAGTGCCTTTATTATTGAAGAAAAACACCTAAATAACTTATTAGATCAAAGGGAGATTACGAAACATGAAAAAGGAAAATGTCTGTAAAAATGCTTACCAGTCATAATGTAAAGTAGGGCTGTTAGCCTCTTGATGGTGTATCTTGGTCTGCGGATAGTGTACACAGCAAACAAGTGCACCAAAAACATAAGAATTATCGTTATAATGCTGAAAGCACATCCTGTTCGCATGTAATCTGAAAGCAATAAACAACTTATAAACAACTATTCCATTTACAGCAAACAAGGCATGTATACCCATTTCTAAGAACTGATATGAAATGAAATATCATATCTTTACTACGTTGAAGTTTTCTTTCACAAATTATAAGTTTTATATACTAATACAGTGATTGTGTACAGAGAATATCAAGGACTCATCTGTTTACGTAGATTCTTGTATTTCTTAGAAATATCCAAGACAAAAAATCAAGATTATACTTAACTTATACATACAATTTGTTTTTTCGGGAGTGGGTATAAAAATGAATATTTTTATCTTTTTATATATTAATTATAATATTATGAAAAGTATTATAATCATATAATGTTTACTCTGTATTGTTATGTAAATTAAATGACGTAAAGCGTACCGCAATCCTCGTATATTAAAACCAGACGTAGAATAATATAGAAAACAAATTACATTTATAATTCTCTTGTCCACTGTTATGTTGTAATTATGTTGTGCACTTTTGTTTTATAGTTCTCATGTTCACACTTATTTTAAGAGTTATGCAACAGACCGATGAGATATCGGAATACAATTAATAATTTAACAATAATATAAAATGCAAAAGTGTATAGTATATTGTTAATAATTTCATCTGGCCCTATTATATTACATTTTGTAATATTAATAAGAATTGCGGTGTGATGCTGTGCTGTACGTCATTCACAGTTGTAAAATTGATAATGAATTTTTGAAGACCCTACTCTTGTTCTAATGTATTATGGCTAAAGTGTGTACAAATTGTATAATATTTCTATTATTTTCAATTGATATAAATATACAATCGGTATTTATCATTTTACCCTTTATTAAAGTCTCGTCAATGTGATACAATATATTCGTCAATAAAAGTATATTTAAACATACTAAAAATGCACATTGCCGCCCACTACAGAGTTATAGGAAACTTTGTATCCGTTAAAGGGACTCCACTGAGGTTTTTTTGACATGATGGGACTGAAAATATTTTTTCCAGATTAATGTACCATTTGATGTAGGTGTAGACGTGCAAACTTTCAGATCATTCGCGCACTTCGTTTTTCCATAATAATTATTCAAATTGTAAAGAAATGACCCAAAATGAAAAGCGTTTAAACGCTTTTCACTCAAATTAGGCTAAGAAAAACATAAAACTACGATTTTCGATTTATTTTAAAGTATATTTCTTAACTATCTTTGCATGTATTTCTGTTTAAAGCGCCCCAGTTCATTTATGTAAGAAATTCTAATGTTATGTTTTAAGGCTTTTAAACCTCAATGGTGTCCCTTTAATACCACAATACAAGTTAAAATCCCTATAATAATGGAGTATAAAATTCAATCAATTAATCTACATCTAAAACAAAGTAACTACATATAATATATCCAACTGTATGGAACACTAATTTTACATAAGTATAAATGATTGTAAAGAAATTTTACATAGTCAGGTATGGGATAAAGTCAAGTAAGAACATGTATTTAAACGATGTAACCAAGTGTATGATTACAAAGGACCATGAATATACATGAAGACATGACCAAGTACATGTTTGTAAGGGAGATGACCAAGTAAGAACATGAATGTACAGGATATAACCAAGTAAGAACATAAATGTACATGATATGACCGAGTACCTGCTTGTAAGGGAGATGACCAAGTAAGAACATGAATGTACAGGATATAACCAAGTAAGAACATAAATGTACATGATATGACCGAGTACCTGCTTGTAAGGGAGATGACCAAGTAAGAACATGAATGTACAGGATATAACAAAGTAAGAACATAAATATACATGATATGACCGAGTACCTGCTTGTAAGGGAGATGACCAAGTAAGAACATGAATGTACAGGGCAAGGCAAGTATATGAATGTAAATGATATGACTGAGTAAGAACATGAATACATGCTTGTATCATAGTTTGGGGACCTTTTTTGTTGAAAATGTGTCAGAGTTAAATCGTATACATATACATGCACGGAGCGCAGGTATTAGCAGAGCATACCCATTGATTGGCTCATGTTTGCTGGGGTTTACTTGTTGTGACGGCAGAGAAAGAGAAAGCGACAGAAATATCATTTTCTGGGGTTTCATATTGTGACAACAGGGAACGTGTTTTTATGTTTGACTATGATACAAAAGAGAAAGAACGTCAAAACACTCGGCAATCTGATAAATACTCCGGGGCTACGTAGGTCCCCCCCCCTCGTACAAATCAGATATTCTCGTTGATGCTCTTTCTATTACATATTATTCTCTTATTTTCATATATCTTATATTTTTGTTATGTACATAATTATACTGTGTAATCGGCGTGTAACAAATTTCCAGAAACTACCAAAAGTCGAATAATGTCGCAGATATTTCTTTCATATATAGAACCTAAAGTTATAATGTTTGAGTAACCACCAGGGGTTATATTCAATGCCAAAACGTCCCTATTTATATCCTTATATACAGAAAAATAAACATCAAGAACGCAATTTTGTTGGGTACGTAAGACAACAATTTAAGTTTTGTGTAGATTCGGCGGATGCCATCATTTTCCGACAATATGGTTTTTTGTTTTCTGGAAAGGGGCAACAAGAGGTAGTCCAATATTTTTGTGGTTTAGATATACTTAAAAGAAACAAATTAACACTTGATATTGACAAAGATGAATCTGATAAATAATATATTTATGACATACCGAGAATTTGCCTATCAATGGCCTCGTCATAAATGATTTCCTTTTTTGATGGAAAAAAGTTGTGGTACTCGCATCTTTCAACTGCAAAAGAAAGGAAAAATACATCTTTATAAACAGGTATTATTTTATGTTTGTTTTAAAAAATACTATCGTAAGAATCTTCAGAAATTTCATCATCAGAAGTACACACGAACTATGGACACACTAATACCACTTTCAATTAAAAAGAAAACGAATATTAGATAATGTATAACAGTAGATAGGTTTATCAATAGATTATCTGCAAAATCAGCACTAACAAATGTTTTGCTTTTCTCACATTTCCCATCGGAATGCTGAATGAATACCTAACTTAATTACTAGTACGAGGAACATAAGTAATAACAAGTGTGTCTCTACCACAGCTTTCAACAAAACATTATCTTAAGCTTATGGGCAATCTTGTGCTTGCACGCGATACTTCTTTTCCCACGATAGAAAATGTATTTTTTGTTCTAGTTTGACAATGTTTCATCGGTTTTAGTTGTTTTTGTTTGCAATAATTACCACAATGGTATCTTCAATTCTAGTGGCACTTTTGTTAGATGCTTCATCTCCGTTCATATAATTGTTATGTGTATTTCATTTCTGCAAGTGTAGACTATTAAATCTTTTTTTGCGGAAAGGAAACACTTGTGAAAAACAAGAATAAAATGGAAACAGGTAATGTTATAATGCTGCGATACAATAAATGTGTGCAACATATTTCAGTAAATATTCCTTTGAAAATAATGTTTGTGATTATGACACTTTTTGAAAATTGAATGTTTACTTGTTAACCTAAGTTTTAAATTAGAATTACATATAAACAATCTTCTAAAGTATGATGAATTACAACAATGAAAGCGTAAATGATGTACATAGTAACTGTTAATTAAATATATGTATTCATTAAGTTCGGAATGCAAATAATTGAGAATTCAAAGTGGAAGAGGAGATTTCTGATTAAACCAAATGATCTGCAAGTACAATTCCAAACATCAAAGAAAAGTCAAGAGATGTATGTCTTGATAACAACAATGTCTCTTTTTAATTGTTTATTGTACGTGTTTTAAATTTCACATTCGGTAATCTGTTTTGTTCAGACACGAAATTTATTTTATTTTCGTATATTTAACAATTTCAAAAATCATCAGTGCAAAGCAATTGATTATCCATCCGACAGACTCATTAGAAGAGTATAGACCCGTGACTTACAGGCAACTTAACCAAATTGTTATGTATTGAACAAAAGTCATATAAATTAATGAAAAGTACCTTTTTGAATTAACTACTAATATATTACAGTTTGTGTATATCATATCCAGTTTTTGTGGAAATGAAATAATCTGAATCCCAAAGAACTTTTATCGTATATATTATAAAATAGTGTATGATATAAATGCCCTTATGTTTTTTTGTAACATTATAATAAATTGTAAGATAAAATAGTGGATTTCCGACCCTATTTTACCTATTACGGGGACAATAAACGGAGTTACCTCTTGGGCTTCAAAAAAAAAATAATGAAAAAGAATAAAATAGCTAAATATGAAAACAAAAGGAATGTAATTTATGTAAGCATATATAACATTATACATGCCTTGAGCGAGATGACAATGAAGTTATTTTTATGCAATAAGTGCATTTGGTAACAAAAAATAATTTCACTTATAAAAGCATTTACATTGATTTCAATTTACTTGCTGATACCGTAATCTAATGTTCAGTAGACATATTGATATATGCAACACTTTCTTTAACAAAGTTTCGTCAGATTGCTTGTGTACATATTTATAATTAATATTCAATATGGATAAATTAAATAATTTCCTATTTCTAGCATAGTTTTCGAGTCTCAGCAGACAGTTCAAGCGTTTGGTTATTCAATTCAAGCACAATAAATAATTCCTCGGAGGTTGTGAATTTTACGAGAACATTTGAATAATTGTTATTCTCTCGCAATGATTACATAATAATGGGAATATAATGCACTCAGCAGGATGCAATAAACAACTTGCGTAATGTTGTAAGTTTTATAAGTGAAACCTTGTTCACTAGAAATAGCTTAAAGTAGCATGATCATTTCTTACTGTGTTTCACAATTGCCACTTTAGTAGTTTTATGTAGTTTGAGCCTTGAGTACCATGCGGTTTATTTTGAAGGAAATCTCGATTTATTCCTTGAAAACAATTTAAAAATCAGTAAAATCGTTCACTGGTTATGTTTTTAATCTAAGCTATATTTTATTATCTTATATGTTGCCATATTGACATTCAGTGTTTATGATGATTGAAAATGCATTGCAACACTTGTTTCCAGCTGAAATTTCATTGCTACTTGTGTATATTTATATCAAATTCATCGCTCCCTGTTTTATAGTCGCTTTGAATAGTTTTAGCTTGTAAATAACAAGAATTTTGAATATTTTGCTACGTTTGCTGTTAATTTTAATCGTCAAATTACTTTTTGGTACTCGACTAACAATTCTTCTCCTGTAATTGTTTCCCTAGACTCTCAAATGAATTCTTTCAAATAACATATCAAATGCAAATGTCTGCCAGACATAGTTCATTTTAAATATGATTGGTACGGTACGCATTATATATTGTGAAAGGTCCATTATTTTTTTTTATCTCAGTCTTTTATTTCGGTGTTAATATCTGACAAAAGACTTCCTTGACATAAGATACAGGTAGATCATCAGCGTTTATAACACCTTGAATAAGAATTAGAATAAGAATCAGAGTCATTTTCTCATAAAGGCTCTACATTGATTTTAATACAGAGGTACTAAGAGACGTCACTGATTCCGCCTTTTTATGAATGGCAGTCTGCCAGATCTTCAATTTCTTTCTTTTAAAAGTATTACATTAATTGATATATCAACATATATTGAATTTAAGTGTGACACTTTCATAGCTTTGCCATGAAACATAACATAACATCTACCAACAAACTAATATGTCTATGTTTTAACACATCAAGATGTATTTCTGTTGTAACAAAAACATATTTAAAACTGTTTTGATTTTATGTAACTTAAGCAATTTTCTACTAGAACATACCCTGATATTACATTCTAAAGAAATAATAAGTTTTTATTAATACCGTTATATTTATCCGTTTATCCGTTTTTGCAAGTAAAGCTAAATATAAGCTATTAGATACATGAAACAGCTCATTATGTCCCAGAAATTTCTCAAGAGCGTACTTTTATGGTTCCCAAAATGTTAAGCATTGGCCAATTGTATTAACCAATTTTTTCCTCTGTTACTTTTTGGCAATAAGTACAGTTATTGTGATTTAGTATTTAGCATGGAAGTCAAAATACTATTTCGTTGTTTACATTTTGCTTTTTCATGACAAATACGTTCACATAAAGCTCTGGTTGATAATAAGCACTTAACCGTAAACCAATAATTTAAAATTGTAAAACTCAATGTCCGTTTTCATATGTATTTTTCATGTTTAAAGTTCGCCCGTTTAGTTCAGAAAGGAAAACACAAAGTCAGTAATCAAGCGGTCGCTGTTCGATCCTTGGGAGAGCCGAGAACTGATCTCGGAAACAAATCTAATAGTTTTGTTTTCTAAGAAATCATGTGGGATGAGAATCCGGTTGTTTGCAGAGTAATTGTTAATTATTGGTTAGTTACCCAGAAAGACGGTCACGTGGTCCGACCGTCGAGATATAATCGAACCCTGTGTAAAAAAAACATAAAAAACCACAACAAACAAACGTTCTGACTTAAATAAAACAAAGATGCTGTGAAAGACAGACAATATCTTGTAAATGAATAAATATTGAGCTTCCAATAATTCATCAGGCAGACAAAAGAAAAGCCAATCACCTTTACAATGAAACAGACAGATATCATATCCACAACAGTACAATGACATTTAAGTAAGCCGTCTTTTAATATCAAAACATTCAATATTAGCTGAACGCCAGCTGTTGAATTACACAGGTGGTTTATTCACGTCTGAACTTTGCAATCAGACGGATAACACAGCAATTATAGGACATAAACTTGATATTAACTGGAAATATACAAGAAATAAATTAAATAATGATAGTTTTGAACAGTCTGTTTAATGTCTGTATTGAGCTTTTCCTTTGAATGGTAATAAAGAATATAACATTTTGCTTTGATATTGCTATGTAAACCAATCATGCTCGTTATAGGTATATTAATTGTTATTTACAATGATGCTCCTTAATCCGTAGTTCGTTTTGTATTTTGATTGACAAAGGTTCTTGTAAGACGCTTGTATGATTTAATGATCTATGAACCAATATTTACATCAAAGAATTCATCAACCATTTCCTCGTATGAAATGAGATTAGATGTATTTGTCTGTTTGTTTTGTTTTGTTTTCCTATTAATGGCAAAACCCATTTATCAGTAATGGCACCAATGGAATTGTGGCAGTCAAAAGAGAAACCAATATCTAATGTGATTCGAACCCACAACCTCCAGATTAGATGATTTATCTCTACAGAACTCTTGTTCTAATTACAAAGGTTATTTTCTAAACAACCGTCAAATAAAGACATATAATTAGGACACAGGGCAATAAGCTTCAGACAATTTTTTTTTCTTGTAAAGTATGTGGTATGGCACCGCAGCAACCTTAGAAACCAACTATTAATAGTAAGATAAATAAAATGTTACATGATTGTTGAATGCAATGTCCACGTCGAGCGTCATCGATGTATACTTCAAACATTAGTCTCCAATAAACAAAAAACAAAAATGATAATGAATATCAAATAAACAAAAAAAAATTATAATGAATATCATATAAAAAAAAAAACAATTAATTATAATCTAACAAAGCTTTTATATAAGAAAAAAATTATAACCTGATAAAACTCTGCCCAAACATTTCATGTTAACATGCATAAAATTGTAATTCCTAGAACGTACATTTTTATAGAATGCTTTTCTGAATTATTATTATCATTTGTAGTCTGTATAAGATCTGAAATGATTTGACATGATGCGGGAGACCAGATTCAAAATTAATGACCTACAGAAGTGTACGAATCACAGGGATGGTCATTTCCAATAAATAAATTCAT